TTGCTAATTGAACCAGTTTTACATATCGGCACGTACATATATATATATAATATATATATATATATATAATATATATATAAATATATATATCTATATATATGTATATAATATATTAATGCCGGGAAACAATGGGCTAGTAACCCTTTTCCTGTATAATTTACAAATAAAGAAAAGAAGAAAATGCCCACAGTAGAAAGTCTGAATGTGCGTGGATGTTGAGCAAATGATAAGGGGAAGAGGAATGGGGTGATGGGTTATGAAATGGGAGAAAGCCGGATGTCTTTTGGGGGGGGGGGGGTTATTTTTTTGGGGGGGGGGGGGGGGGGGGGGGGGGGGGGGGGGTGGGTGGGATTTAAGGGAAACAAAGCTGAGGGGGTGAGAGAGTTTCCGTGGAGAGGATTATGCAGGGTTTCGCAATGAAATTAAGCTAAAGAAGAGTACCCCGCAATAAATTGAAGGATAAGCTATGCAGGAAAAGAGGGACTACAAATGTATTAATTCAAGGATATGTGGGAGTAAAAATAAAGGTTGGATTTGAAAAGTGGGGTATAGTAAGCTATATGCACCTGAGAAGAGAAGTGTAGAGGAAAGAGGGAGAGATTGGATAAGAGAAGTTAGAGGAGAGAGAGAGATTTTGGGAAATGTTGAGTGAATGGTTGTGGGGATTATGAACCAAGTGCGAGCGTAATGGTGGTTGGGGATTTCAATGCTAGTGGGCAAAAATGTTGTGGAGGGAGTTAGTAGGTAAATTTGGGGTGCAGAGGTAAATTGAAAATGGGATACTAATTGAGCTATGTGTAGAAAAGAGGTTTGGTAATATGTAATACTATTTTATGAAGAAGAGATAAATAAATATACAAGGTATGATATAGCACGTAATGAAAGTAGTTTTTTATGTTATGTATATGGTGGATAAAAGGGTAGAAGGGAAAGGCTCCAGGATGTACACGTTTTAAAGAGGGCACTGATGAATTGGACCATTATTAAGTTGTACTTCAGTTAGAGTAAGAGGTAGAAGGAAAAGAGGAAAATGGCAACATCAAGCAAGAAGGGAGGTGAATTGGTATAAACTAAGGGAGAGGAAGTTCGGTAGATATAAGCATACTTGCGGTGCAAGTATGAGTAGTGGAGGGTTGAAGAGGGTTTGGCATAGTTGTAAAAATGCGTATTAGAATGAGGGGCAGAATTGTGGTTATAGGTGGGTGGGTGCAGGAGGAAATTGGGGGAGGTGAAATGATGAAGTAAAGTATGTGATATAATGAAAAGTTAGCTTATGGAGTTTTTACAAAGCAGAATGTTACAAGAAGAGCAAGAGTATATTGAGAGTAAAAGAAAGATAAGAGAGTTGGTGAGATGCAAAAGGAGTATCAGTTAAGACAGCTAGTGAAACGAATGGAATTGTCAGTTACAAAACAGATAGGGGAGTAGTAGATGGGGAGAGGAGGTATAGGTAATGGCAGAATATTTTGAGAACTATTAAATGTTGAGAAGAATGGGAGGCGGTAATTTCATGCACTGACCAGGAGGAACCCAAATCTTTTAGGAGTGAAGAAGAGCAGAAATGTAAGTGGGGGGAGGTACGTGAGGCATTACATAGAATGAAAGGGGGTAAAGCCCGGGAACTGACGGGATCATGACAGAAGTTTTAAAAGCAGGGGGTATATAGTGTTGGAGGGTTGTTATTTTTGTTTAATAAATGTATAAAGGGGGGAAGGTACCTGGGGATTGGCAGAGAGCATAAAATAGCCCTCTTTATATAAAGGGAGGGGGGACGAAAGAGATTGTAAAAATTATAGAGAATAAGTTTACTGAGTATACCAGGAAAAGTGTAATGGTAGGGTTATCATTGAAAGAATTAGAGGTAAGACAGAATTCAGATTGCGGATGAAAAGGGGGTTTTCAGAGTGTGTAGGGGATGTATAGATCAAGTGTTTACATTGAAGCATATATTTTTTTTTATTTTATTTTATTATCACACTGGCCGATTCCCACCAAGGCAGGGTGGCCCGAAAAAGAAAAACTTTCACCATCATTCACTCCATCACTGTCTTGCCAGAAGGGTGCTTTACACTTCATTTTTTTAAACTGTAACATTAACACCCCTCCTTCAGAGTGCAGGAAACTGTACTTCCCATCTCCAGGACTCAAGTCCGGCCTGCCTTTTCCCTGAACCCCTTCATAAATGTTACTTTGCTCACACTCCAACAGCAATTCAAATATTAAAAACCATTTGTCTCCATTCACTCCTATCAAACACGCTCACGCATGCCTGCTGGAAGGTCCAAGCCCCTCGCACAACAAAAACCTCCTTTACCCCCTCCCTCCAACCTTTTCCTAGGCCGACCCCTACCCCGCCTTCCTTCCACTACAGACTGATACACTCTTGAAGTCTTTCTGTTTCGTCCATTCTCTCTACATGTCCGAACCACCTCAACAACCCTTCCTCAGCCCCCCTGGACAACAGTTTTTGGTAATCCCGCACCTCCTCCTAACTTCCAAACTACGAATTCTCTGCATTATATTCACACCCCACATTGCCCCAGACATGAAAATCTCCACTGCTTCCAGCCTTCTCCTCGCTGCAACATTCATCACCCATGCTTC